CCCCAAAACCCCAAAACCCCAAAACCCCAAAACCCCTTAAATTCTGTTAAAAATGCAATTAAAGATATATTATAAAAATAAAAATGGGAAATTACACTTCTGAAACTCAAAAAGACCGAATTATTGCTGATATCGACTCTTCAGAAATCCCCAAAGAAGAAATCCAAGAGGCAAAATTCTATAAAGGACAAATAATGGATATCGTCAATGAGATTTTAGAGAAAACTACCCAAAGAGAGATGAGTGATTATGCTTTTCTGAACTGAACAAGTGCAATAGATTTTGAATTCAGATACCTTATTCAGATCACTACGAGGCAGAATACCAAAGAGGAGAGCTGACGAATTATCTGGACCACCCTTGAGCAGAAATTTGTAGATCCTGAGGGAAACAGTCTCTTTCCAATGTATTATTTCTTTAATACTCCTGTTGTCAAGAATAATATGATCAACCTGGCTATTAGGAACCGATTTTCCTGAGGTATACTAGCTATGATTAATGAATACCCTGAAGAAATGAGAGAATTGGCTAATGAAAATAATGGATGGTCAATGCTGCATGATCTAGCCTCCATCCACTCAAGTTTCTCCACAGAAGAGGAAAAGCTTGCAATGTGGCTGATCAAAAATACCCACACTTTTCTAAAAAACCATACTAACAGAACATTCCTTGAAACAGCAATCTGCCATATGTCTCCCAACTTTGACTACCTCTCTAAGCTAGTAATCCAACGCAATATTAACCTGATCACAATAAAAGTTCTTAAATCTACAACTCTTCGCGAAAATCTCTTCTCAAAAATCTTAAAATACTGAGCGCACAAAAACCTTATAAGCAGGCACTACTACAAAATAGCTAAAGAGAGAAGAATGAAGGACCTGAGCATGAACTGGGTGCCCCAGTTTAGATACACAGAAGAGTTACTTAAGGCAAATGTTCAGTGGGAGTTTGAGTAGGGATTAGAGGAAATTAACAAAGAACAAGCTTATGTTGAAGGTTTCAGAAAAGGAATGATATAAAATTATTTAAAAGAGTTTTAACAAAGTTAAGAAATAATGGAAATGTTGGAAAATAAGTCTAAATAAGAAAACAAACCAATTAGGAGTTATATGAGGAGTAATTGAAAGAAGTTTAAAATTGGTATGACTTTTGGAAATTTTAAGGTTTAAGTATATATGAGAGAAATGTGAGATAAGAGTTCAATCTAATAGTGAGTATAAACTTATTTCGAACCTCATTAAAGTATCTGATCATTTACACAGGAATTTTAATCCAACTCTTATAAACTACAAAACAATACTAACCACTATACAACATCTCTATACAACTTCACCCCGAATCACCTTCACTAAATTTCCTTACACAGCACCTAATTCACTTTCCCAATCAGACTTCCCCTCAATCCCGTTCTAAACTCCCCTTCCCTCCAAAAAGCCTCTCTACTCTCCTACTTCCTCCATTAAACCCCCTTTAAGCCTCCCAACCCACTCAACTCTAAAAATCTCTTCTAAAATCCTTCAATCTTCACTCAAAGATAGGGGTTTTGGGGTTTTGGGGTTTTGGGG